CGTTTAAGCTATGGTTAACAAAACAATGCTGCCGAAATGGGGCGTGGCATGGGAGCTGTTGATATTCAAAATCGACGCAGGTGAACGATAGAGAAGTATTTGGAGAGGGTTATGTTCTAGGCTCAAAGCTCACAAATATGATCAAAGTTATATATACGAGTTATCTTCTATTACTTATCGATAACAACTCGATTAATCGATTGTTGTAAGACCACACTTAACGACTATTTGGTAAATTGTGTTCATATTTGTAACGGTTGTCTTCCTGTTAGATATTCGATAGCCGTTCGATTGCCAATCGATAACTTTTCCTATTGCCAGGCAATTCATTCACTCAACCACTTATTAATAATAGTAATAATAATAATAATGTCTCACTTTCCAAATACATGCTCATTTTTTAATTACTTATCGATAAGTGGTCGATTAATCGATTATTTTTAAAGCCCCACTTAACGCACTATTAAGTTAATTGTATTAAACTTAAAAGGTTACACACATGCAATGTATTTTATAGCTGTTTGATTGCCAATCGATAAATATTCGTTCACTCAATTGATGTTTAATCGCCTTGATGCAATTCCCCTCACATTCATTGCCTAGCCATTCATCCACTCACCCACTCATTAATAATAATTATAATAATGATACCTTTTTTGCCAAATAAACGGTTAATTTGAAATTACTTATCGATAAGAAGTCGATTAATCGATTACTTTTGAAGACACTTAACTCACTATTAAGTAAATTGTATTCGTTTCCTAAACAGTTATACACTTGTTTTGCATTCGATAGCTGTTTGATTGCCAATCGATAACTATTCGTTCACTCAATTGTTGTTTATTTGCCTCATTTTATTTCCACTCACATTCATAGCCTGCCCATTCATTCACTCACCCACTCAGCCACTCATTAACTTTGTGTGAGTGCATTCAAACAATGTTCAATAAAACGACACTAATTGGCGGCAAGGGCAACAGCATAAAAGGCCGGTCCATCAATGCCGGAAAAGCACAGCGACAACAACAGAAAACCAACAAGTGTGGAAATGGAAGTGGAAATCGCCTGCCACAGCGTTTAGAGTACTCGAACTCGAACTGGAACTCGCATTCGTATTCGCACTCGCTCGTAACCCAGCTCTGAGCGCTGTAATCGCCCGCCGGCTGATTATGTGATGAAATTTTGCGTGACCCGTGGATAGCGAAAAAAAAATATAAAATCAACAACAAAGAAAAACTACGACAAAGAGCTGAAATTAAGTCACAGAAAATGGTCGGCATCTAGGTGAGGGTAAGCCCTGCCAATTGGCGGTCCAAGAATCAGTAGGTAAAGCAGCATAGAGAGGGAAGAAAACTGGGGCTTCTCAACTGCGACCAATTCGCCAAGTATTCCCAACTCATTTCAAGTTGGGTCAATAACTTGGCATAAACTGGCGACGCGCTCAGCTGTAAATTTCGCAGCAGCTGCCAAAAGTCGCGCCACACTTATTGCCCAGCAGCTGCTGACGCGGGAGTTTCTACGTCTGACAAATCGTGCGATGCATTCCGACAGCTCGTCTATAAACTCTGTGCGAGGGTGGTTCGACAAGTTGCAAATGCAGGCAATGATATTTTATAATTAGATTAGGATTTTGTTACCAAAATGTAATCTATCGATGAATTGGTCAAGATCCGACCGATTTTTATAAGGAATACCTTTCGTATAACAGATTGTTTTTTTCGATTTCGTATTTTTATTTTAATTGTGTTTAATTCAACGATTTATTGAGAGTAAATTTAAATTCCACTTTTTAAACATTTATATTAGTTGAAATGACATAGTTAAAAATAGGGCCTAAAGTGCCATAAATATTGGCTTGTTAGCCTCCCAAATGCGTAATAAATAATATGCCTGACTTTTAATATCGCAATTCTTGTATATAAGTATATATAAATGGATGTGTGTATGTATGTATGTATGCATTAAACGCAGACCAACTTTACTTCAATTCGCTGCAAATTTTCGCCCTTCTATGCGATTCTCATGTATACAAGTAGGGCTTACCGATTTTCATGCTTTGCATGATCAAAGTGTGTTTTTTCTATGATTAACAACTATTAGGTAGCTACCCTCGACCCTGATCAAATTGGGCAGTTGCGAGCTGCAGAATCGCGCATCGGACTTGTTAGAGACAGTTGGACGCCTTTGGGGTTCAAAATATGTGCTGTCTCTGGAAATATGCTCGGAACGGTGACGCGTCCATCAACTCGTGTAATTTGACTTGTTCGACAAAAGTTTTTATTTATTTGCTGCATGTTGCAGTTGAAGTAGACTTTTTTTGTGTGTTCTTCGCCAGCTGCTCGTCGCTTTGGCATTCAATTACAAGAATATATATTGGGCGAGCGCCTCCAACTGTGCGGAGGGGTCATTAAACGCCTCACGTTTCGGCTCCACTTGCTTTAAATTGGTACACTGCCACGCCCTACCCGCACTATGAATATAGTGCACATGCTGACGATTCTTAATTAATCACGCGTTTTCAGTTTTTAGCATAGGCTGCAGTTTTTCCAGCTCGCTGGCACAGACACAATCGCCTGATTCATTTGGCTTTGGTTTGTTTTTTGGGTTAAACATAATCGCCCGATGATCTCAGGTGACAGGTGACGGCAGTCGTGACACAGAATGCAATATGGATGTGTGCTCTTCAGTATTTGGTTCGATGACAAATGTCATTAATAAATAAAAATACATTTCGAATTGCAATCAAATATCTCAACTTACCTCAATGCCATTCAAACTGACGCTGCGCCTGCGTCGCAGCTCAATATGCACGGCGTTGGCGTTGGCGTTGGCGTCGACGTTGACGTTAGCAGCGGCAGCAGTGGCCAGTGTGTCCAGCCAGAGGGCGGCTAAGACAATTAGGCACAAGCGATGACGATAACGATAACGATGACGATAACGCCGACGCTGGGGCTCAGGCTGATTGGCCGCAATCGCAGACATAACGACTCTTTTTCAAGTTGACAACAATTAAGCGATTTGTGTGGCGCCTTGTAATACTATTTACATTAGTTGCTATTGTTGTTGTTGCTCAAGCGGTGGGACTTGTTGTTGTTGGAGCTACCACGCGAACAAATTGCATTGGTTGCAAAATAAATGTTGTGTTGTTTCTTTGTGGTGATTGCCTTTTGATTCTGCTGCGCAAGCTAATTTGACTTGCGTATTTGCGTCATAATTTTTACTTGTGTTACATTTTCTGCAAAACATTAAAACAAACAATTTGGTATTTCACTTAATTTTTCGATTGCAGCAGCACAAGCCGTAGAAGCAACAGGGCAGAGAGAAAAGTGAATGCACGCAGCGCTGCTGTTGGCGACGGCGACGCTGACGCCCGCTGCTGGCAGCCAACTTTTGCGGCAGTTAATTTAACTGTTTATGCACTAATTAATTGCTGCTGTTGTTGTTGCGTTGTTTTGATGTGCAGCAGCTTTAGCAGCGCTTTGCTTTACTTTTTCTACCATGCACCACTTTTTTTTATTTGCCCAATTTTCTGTGAACAGCAAACGCAAGTTTGTTGCTTAAGTCGTTTGTGGTATCGATTGCGCTACTCCGATTAGAATATCAATTGGCCACACTTATCAATTCAATTGGCGCTTTCGGTTTGCATTTCCTGATTGCACCGCAAACAGATAACGATTGCTGGCGCACTTCAAAAAACATTTAAAATTCGCCAAGTGTAGCAGCTGCTGTTAAATAAAGTCGTTCTTCTATGCGCAGGTTTTGTGTTTTCATATTTACACGCATTTATTTTTATTTAAACGCCGCCGTCGCGCATACACAAAACATCAACAGCCGCTCTCAAGCATAACGATTTTGAGTACAATTCATGATTTTTATTACACTTTAGTCCAAATATAAATAAATATAATATAAATCACCGTGTGCAGACCGTTTCAGTAATATTATTTGGAGGTCAGCTCAATCGATTTAACAAATGTTTTATATTTGGTTGGGACAAACAAATAAAAGAACCGGAGAGTTTAACAGAATTTCAAAACTCGAATGCGCGCGGATTACCAAAAGATCTTTTCACGGCAGCGCCACATTCGCGAATGACGAAAAATCACGACTGCGGAAAACTTTATTCATGCAGCGGGCCGCACGATCGCCGCGAGAGCCGACGGCTGCTCGTGAGAGCTCTTGGGTAGTCTTCTTGGGCTGCCCGGGTCTGAGGTTGAAGATTTAGCTATATGCTAATGAGCCAGAGTCGGACGGAAAGGAACAATAGAATGGCACCGTTAACTAAAGCAGCCGAAAAATTAGCAGCAAAAAAAAAATACAAAATAAAATGATAGTAAAGAGAAGCAAGTGCAGAGAACCGAACGGTTCGTTGCCAATTGTTTTCTTGTTTTTTGTGGTCAAGTGCCTGAAAATGATGGGCTAGTCGGCCAGACGAAAACTTGACACTGATCATCACAGTCGAGTAAAAAACAAACTAAGAATTATGCTGCATTTCCGTTCAGCTTGAACGTTACAGCAGCAACAACAACATAAAGAAAAGCATTGTGAAGGAAATCTTAAATCAGCAATGCAAATGTAACGCAAGCGCTAAATTGTAGAAGTACATTTGCCATGAAGCCAGCCAATTGAAGTGATCAACTTTTAATTGATGCAATCAGTCAAAGAGACAATGATAAATCACCAGCTGGAAAATATTTCCATTTTGATATATCTATAATACTCGATTAATATATCAACTTTTAGAATTCACAATACCAGGCTAAAGTTCAAAATTATTTGCAGATAGTTTTGCGATTTAACGTATCAAATTTAAATAATTTGTTATGGGCAGCACTTTTTTATAGCAAGCAAAAGCTGGCTGCTACATGCGTACAACTTCGATTCAGTGTTGCACTTAACAATGTTCATATCTGGGCCCATCTGGTCACACTATTGAGCGCTATTTTCGGATTTACTTCATTCGGTCACATTATTTTCATCATCTTGCGTGCTTTTCAAATCTAAACGGCAGCGATTTGCGTTCGCATCGTGCGCAGAGCTCGAAAGACTCCCAAACAAATTCGAAAAAAAGTAGCAATCGTTGAAAAATTATAAATTTTAAACTAAATCTGTGCAATCTAAAACAAGATACAAAACTAAATTTCAACAATATATTTGCGTTCAAAAACAAAAGCGACGCGTTCAAGTGCAAAAAAAAAGTCGAAGCGTTCTTTTTAATTATAATTATATTTGTGTAAAAGAAAAAGTAAATAAATATACAAACATGGTGAGCACAGCGCTTAAAATGATCATGGACGAGGTAAGAATACATTTAAATGCACATTTTTATCTAAGATTTATTAGGCAGTAGCAGCAGCTAACGCATTGCGTTGGCAGCGACGCCGCCGCCATTGCGGCGTCTGCGTCGGCGCAGCAGCTAAGCACAAAAGAGAGGGGTAAAAAAATGCCGTTTTGTCTAGCGTTGTTGTTGCTGCTAATGCAGCAGCGGTAATCGCGCTTGGCGCCCTTTTTGGTGCTTTTTGGCAGTCTAGCGGTACTTGTACCGCTAATTGCATCTCTCCTCTGTGCACCGCATACAAAATGGCCGCCATGCATTGACCCCATGCGATCTTGAATTTTTGCAGAATGCAACGGAGAAGTACAATAATGTCCAAGTGAAGAAATTGACGGTGCCTTCAAACGAGGCAAACCACACAAAGCGCGCCGCACTCGGCGATCTGCAGAATCGAGGACTGAACCGTGGCGTTGTCTCCAAAGAAGCGGCACAAAAGGAGTGAGTTATAGGAGAATAGTAACAAAGAATAAGAAAATTTATTCAACATAAATATCGCAGACTGAAAGACGTGAAATTGGCCAAGGCGCGTGTGGACACACACTGGAAGAAGCAGCCGCTGGGCGTGAGCAATGCCAATGCAGGTGCAGCCAAAACAACAGCCGCCTCCTCACTGATGCGCTCCAACTCGATGCGCACCAATGGGCAGCAGCCCGCTGCTGGGGTGATGTCCCGCCAGATCTCGGCCAGCACGCTGAACGCTGGACGCACCGCTGCAACGACAACGGCCAATGCAAAAGTGGCCGCCGATGCGAACAACAAGCGTAAGTATCCAATCAAAAAGCACAAAACATTGGCCCAGCCCAAACCCCACATACCCTCCCAACGTACAGTTGCAGCTGCAGCCAAGCAAAAGTCCATCTCTGACGAGAAGGTCAACACGCTGCGTCGCGAGGACAGCAACTTGTCACGCAAATCGCTGACCAAGCTGCGCGCCGCCCTGGCCAAGCCGAATGTGCCTGCTGCCGCGGCAGTCAATGCACAGAAGAAGGAACCGCTGGTGCCCAGGGCGCAGCCCAGGACTGCAGCAAATGCGCTGGCAGTTAAAAAGGATGCAGCTGCTGCTGCAGTGCACCTAAAGAAGGAACCTATGGCCCTGGCCAGGCTGCCCAAGATGCGCCCCACACCAGCCGTGGCTGCCACAACAGTTCCATCAACCTTATCGCTGGCCGGCAAGAGGCTAGCAGAGGTGGAGGACATTGATGCCGATGATCGGGAAAATCTGGTTTTGGTATCGGAGTATGTGAACGACATTTACGACTATCTATATGAACTGGAGGAGCAGCAGCCCATTCATACCGATCATTTGGCCAATCAGCTGGAGGTGTCGCACAAGATGCGCGCTGTGCTCATCGATTGGATCAACGAGGTGCACTTGCAGTTCCATTTGGCTGCCGAGACATTCCATCTGGCCGTGGCCATTATCGATCGCTATCTGCAGGTGGTCAAGGATACCAGGCGCAAGTATTTGCAGCTGGTGGGCGTCACAGCTCTCTTCATAGCCACCAAATACGAGGAGCTCTTCCCGCCGGCCATTGGCGATTTTGTGTTCATAACCGACGACACCTATACGGGTCGCGAGATAAGGCAAATGGAACTGCAAATACTGAAGGCCATCGATAACAATCTGTCGCGTCCATTGCCCATACACTTCTTGCGGCGCTACTCGAAGGCCGCCAGCGCTGAGGATGAGCATCACGCCATGTCCAAGTACTTCTTGGAACTGGCTGGCATGGACTACGAGCTGGCCAGCTATAAGCCCTCCGAGGTGGGTTTGATTCTGTTACCAAGGGTTTATCTGGTGACTTGATGATTTAATTTTGATATCTTGCCTTACAGATTGCAGCTGCCTCGCTGTTCCTGTCGCTGCACTTGCTCAATGGCAACGCACGCGCTGCCACGGGCTTCAATGACAAACACTGGACGCCTACTCTGGTGCATTACTCACGCTACACGGCCGCATATTTGCGTCCGATTACACGGCAAATTGCGAAACTGGCGCGCGATGCGCCGACTGCCAAATTGCGGGCCATTTACAACAAGTATCAGGCCAACAAGTTCCAGAAGATTGCGCTGCGTCCCGAACTGAGCGGTCCGCTCATGGACTCGATTGTGGGCAAGAAATAGTAGATGCCCCACACTCACTACGTGTCGACTTTTGGCCCGTGCAGTTATTGTTAATATTGACTGCATTTTAAGTTTAGTTCAATTTGTTTTCTATTTAAATTTGTGTATTTTTCGTTTCGTGTTCCTCACTTTATGTGCGAATGTGTGCGTGCGTGTGTATAATAATCATTATATGATCCTCATCATGATTACGTTTAATGTCCTCTCCTGTGCGCGTCTTGCATTTGTCTCATCGCCGCTTTTAAGGTGATCAACGGCAAAGGCAGTCCCCCTCTCCCTGCACCCCTACCATATAACAGGATCCAGTCCATCGCAGGCTCAACAGCTTTGCTTTATTTGGCCACAAGTTGTTCGAGTTTGTCCCTGGTCTGTGGCCCGCGTCCCCCTACTGATGATATATACATATATATTATATATGTATGATTGTATGTGAGAAGATGGTTGGACACTGAGAGCACCAATGAGCAAATTTTATATAAAAAGAAAAAAAAAACAGAAAAACCGGTGAGCAACGAGCGCATTTGCTGGCTGAAGATATCGGCGTTGCCTCTCAAAGTATTTTAAGTTACTTTCCCAAAAAAAAAAAAAACGAAAAAGAAAAACAGGCAACAAATTCGCCATTTTACGCATATATTATATTATATTTAGTTTAAGCAATTTGGATTTGGAAATTGTGCTCTATGTATTAAATCAATTTATAAATATAAATATTTAACGAAAATCCAATAAAATTCCCAGCGAACTTGCGAAAATCCCATAAAATATCCCGCCAATTTGTTTTTGTAATCATAATTTCCCTCAGGGAATTGCAAATAAATTAGTACTTTTTTGGACCTCCCTTGAGCGTGCTTTACCAAAAAAACGTGCAGCTGATGAGGTCTGTGAGAAAGTTGAAAACCGGAGCGTAACATAAAGGCGAAAGGCAAAAAAAAAAGGCGAGACGACCCCTGCGCAGTCCTTATCAACTCCCAGATACACACAACCGTCTAAAATCAGACAATGGCAGCAAATGGGCATTGAAACTTGGGTTGCCTTTGCTTTTGCTTTGCTGTCTCTTCTTTGATCGCAGGTCAGTTTTTCCGCCCTTATGTTTCGACTTCATTTGCTGGCTGAGCACATGTGCGTGCGTGTGTGCGTGTGTGTGTGTTTTCTCTCTCGTGTTCTTGTTTCTTTTGGGCTGCTTCATGGCAATTGCCTGGCGGCGTCAGCATTGGCTCGACGTCGTCGCTGTGTGCACGCGCACGTGTATGTAAATGTGTTGCGTACGTGCCTGTGTGTGTGTGGGTGCCCATGTGTGCGTGAGGCTGACTGGCACCGAGAGCTCGACTGCGACTGCGAGTGGCGGCGACTGCTTTCTGCGGCCGCTGTTCGCCTGTTCGAAATTTAAGTTTGACGGTTTTATAGCTCCCATTAATTTCGACACTTTTACGAGCAAACAAATGCAATAAAAAGAAAGCAGGCCCGGCCCGGCCCGCCAGCAAAACCAACAACAACGTGGAGCACACAGCGCCAAGCCCGAGGCCTAGTAATTTGTGCCTCTCCCATGGAAAGAAAAATCGCAGTAATTTTTTTCTTTTTGTCTTGTGCGCTCCCCGCCAGGAGCCAGTTATACCCGTGTCCTGCCGCACACAGACACACACACACATACAAATTATTGGATATGGGCATCTGCTACAGTCGATTGGGCTCGTTTCTAGCCTTGCGCCTTTTTCTGGTTGACTGTTAACCAAATATGCAGAGCGTGAAGTGAGCGGCCGTACCCGGCTATTGAACTGTGGCGGCGCCGTTGCTGATGAGTTGCTGTTATCCTGACGGGAGCGTCTGGTCAGGTAGTAGCTGCAGATCCCGCTGAGGGGTTGCAAGGTCACTGCGAAAGGTTGTGAGAAGAAGGACAGCTGCTGCTGCTGGCGGATCAGCTGAGACTTTGCACAGATTAGTTGAAAGGACCTCGTCCTCCTTCCCGTCTGTCTGTCTGACTCGCTGTCTGCTTGTGACAGGATTTTAATTCGTAATTGCCAGCGACAATTATTGGCCAATGTTTACATAGGTCAACCTGAATGGTCTCTTGGGATAATGTAGAAAATGGTTATAGTTCTATAATGCTTGATCAGATATCCAACTTAATGTGAATATATGAGACCTGCTTCCTGATCCGAGTAATTTTTGACGCAACTGTTTACATTTATATATGATATGCATATTCAAATATGTATGCTTTAACTATTTTTTTCAACTTAGGGAAATAGTTTAGATCAGATATCCATAAGTTGGAGTTTCTATATGTTTTAGTTTGTATAGAACAGTCTACGATAGCTATACATACGTACTATATCATCCACATTATAGACTATATGACAGTCGTAAAAACAGATTAATGAAACATTGGGGTCTTCCAATAATAGCTATATTTCAGTTAAGTTAATGTTATAAGTCTTAGACGAGTAAATCCATCTTAATGGGAGTATTTTTCGAAGTGATAATAGCCGTAGATGACATAGAATCTACGAGTGTACATTCTATTCAGGAATACCTTAATGTGTACATTTAGTTTCGGGATAGAAACTTGTTCTTAAATGGGACCAACTGTCGATAGTTCAGTTAAGAGGTGATCATCAATATGGTTGTTAGTTCGAGTTCTAGTAAATACGAATATATTATGATTTCTGTCTATTTATCTATTTATCAAATCCATAATGCCAGCTTATTTTAAGTGTATAATTTAGTATCGTTTTTATTTTCATCGTTTCACAATCATCCACGAACGGTATTTCGACTATTCTCGATTACAATATTTCAAATATTGATTATGTTTTTAAGCTAGAACAACAGAGTTTATCATTTGAGTGGGGCTAATGCTGAAATTCGAAGTGGGGTAACTTCCGCTGCGCTCTTTACGTCCGTCCCGCTCTCTCTCTCTCCCAGTGTGTGTGTGTGTGTGTGGCAGGGACGGGACGTGAATCGTGCAGCAAAGGAAAACATGAATGCGCAAAGGTTTTTCTTTAGTTTTATAATTTTTTTTGTTTATATTTTCTTATGGTGTATGTTGGTTTTTCTTTTGATGATGTTGTTGTTATTATCATCTACGCGCAGTTGGCAGCTTTATTCAATTATTAACGTGACTTTCGGCTCAGACATTATTTCATTTATTTGCTTGCAAGATGTTTGGTTTGCCTCATATCTACGATATAACTGCACGCGGTGGTTGCTGCTGATGTTGCTGTTTAACCCTGGAAGGTGGACATGAACTTCTGGACAATGTCCTTCAGCTTAGCATCGGCGGCCTCAGAGATCTGGCCATCCTTGGCAATGCCATCGAGAAGACCCTGCTCGGATGTCTTGATGTGCTGCAAGAATTCCTTCTCGAACTTGGTGATCTTTGAGGGATCCAACTTGTCCAAATGACCGCGCACACCGCAGTAGATGACAGCAACCTGAGTGGAGAAATCAATATAATTAGCCATATGCCTGGACCATATCTAAATCAATCAAATCTGTACCTGATCTTCAATGGCCATGGGCACATACTGGCCCTGCTTGAGGAGCTCAGTTAGGCGCACACCACGGTTCAGCAGCTGCTGGGTGGATGCATCCAAATCCGAACCGAACTGGGCGAAAGCAGCGACCTCACGGTACTGGGCCAACTCCAGCTTCATGGAACCGGCAACCTGCTTCATGGCCTTGGTCTGGGCAGCGGAACCGACACGGGACACAGAGAGACCCACGTTAATGGCGGGACGGATACCCTTGTAGAACAACTCGGTTTCCAAGAAGATCTGACCGTCAGTGATCGAAATGACGTTGGTTGGAATGTACGCGGACACATCACCGGCCTGGGTCTCAATCACGGGCAGAGCGGTCAATGAACCGCCACCCATAGCGGGGGACATCTTGGCGGCACGCTCCAGCAGACGCGAATGCAGATAGAACACATCACCGGGGTAGGCCTCACGACCAGGGGGACGACGCAGCAGCAGAGACATCTGACGGTAGGCCACAGCCTGTTTGGACAAATCATCATAGATGATCAGGGCGTGCTTGCCCTTGTCGCGGAAGAACTCGCCCATGGCGCAGCCAGAGTATGGAGCCAAGTACTGCAGAGGAGCGGCATCGGAGGCGGTGGCAGAAACAATAATGGTGTAACCCATGGCACCGGAGTCGGTCAAACGCTTCAGAATCTGGGCGACAGTGGAACGCTTCTGGCCAATGGCAACGTAGATACAGTACAGCTTCTTCGACTCATCCTGGCCATCGTTGAAACGCTTCTGGTTGATGATGGTATCAATGGCCAGAGCGGTTTTTCTGCATGCCAAAATGTTATGATAAGTTCTTATCCTTATTATTGCCAGCATATTACTCACCCAGTCTGTCTGTCGCCGATGATCAGCTCACGCTGACCACGACCGATGGGCACCAGCGAGTCGACGGCCTTGATGCCAGTCTGCATAGGCTCGCGCACAGACACACGGGGAATGATGCCGGGGGCCTTGATGCCGACACGGAAACGATCCTTGGTGTTGATGGCGCCCTTGCCATCAATGGCATTGCCCAGAGCATCGACAACGCGACCGAGCAGCTCATTACCGACTGGTACGTCGACAATGGCGCCGGTACGCTTCACAATATCACCCTGCTTGATGAGCTTGTCGTTACCGAAGACGACGACACCCACATTGTCGGCCTCCAAGTTGAGGGCCATGCCCTTAAGGCCCGAGGAGAATTCCACCATCTCATCGGCCTGGATGTTGTTCAGACCATAGACACGAGCGATACCATCACCAATGCTCAGCACACGACCAGTTTCCTCCAGATCAGCCTTGGGTGCAACGCCCAGGATTCTTTCCTCCAAAACGCTGGAGATCTCCGCGCTGCGCTGTGTGCTGGCCACATGGAGCTTACGGGCAGCAAGACTGGTAGCTGGATATGCAGCTTTGCAGGCAACCTGTGGACGAATTCAAATTGTGGCCATCATTAACTTATCTTATATAAGGAGCAAGTGCGAAAGGGGGGAATAAGAATTGAATAACCACATGAGCAGAACAGTTGCTATCTCGCTCTAGCACACAGCAAGCAGCCACACGCAGGCGGCCGGCCTAGTTCAGTAATCTACAATAATTACTTTACACTTGTAAATTGTTATTAAATTTTGGCAGCATTTTGCCTTACTTTCTTTGTATACGTTTTTTTTTTGCAATTTCCTTCTGCAGCATTGACCCGAAACGCGCACACATAACCTCAAAGAGAGCGCTGCCAACGAACAGCAGCAGCCGAAGCTGAGACCCGTTGCCAAATTATGTAACCTTTTATAAAACACAAATTGTAGGCAAAAACTCACTTTGATTTGGTCTTAAGAATTAAACATTTGCAATATATTTGCACAAAGTACATTTTACTTGTTATGTAACTTTTGTGTGTGCGGCAGCAGCGGTTCGCATTGCGTAACACAAAACTAAAACTTTAGCCAACATGAAATTAATGCAATTGGTATATGAAACGCCAGGTAGCTAAAAGTATTATCCAGTTGGAGTTGTCCCTAAGGTTTCAATTGCGTATTTTAGTTGCAATTTACGGCCAATTGGGTTGGGTTATGTGTGGTTTAAATATTTTCGTTTTGCAACTTTTTTACTCGTTAACTGCTTTTTTATACCTGTGCGGCCGCCTTGGGCAAGTTGCGAGCGACCGACGACGCCAAACGAGCAGAAATCATCGTTATTTTTTTTATATTTTTAACTTTTTATAAGCCGCAGAAATTATTTAATTCCTACACCGACTGCTCTCCAGACTCGTAGGTATTTTTCACAAAGATGGTTGCCGTTCGGCTCACGTTCGCTGCACGTCTGTGTGCCCAGAGTAGAGTAAAAAGAGCCAACGATACTATCGATAATTGTGCATGCAACATTGCGACGCATTTCGATACTAAATGTGTCAGCTGGTCACTCCAAATAGCGCTGCGCTTAACAGCATGTTGCTCACTACAATAGAATGCTCCACCGGCTTAACAGTGTACGTTAAGAAGAAGTATGTTAAGAGTGTAGAGATTTGCTATGTTAGTTGTGCGTTCGGTTTGGAGCTCGGCAAAGGGGGACTTGGGCTGGAAAGCGCACCCGAGAGCGCCAGCATCCTGCGAAACTCTACAAAAGTGAGAGCTCCAGCCAAAGAGGAGGCTGTGTGCGCGCCACAGAATCTCAGTACTAAATTGTAGAGCCATCCTGAAGCACTCTGCCAGTTCATAGTCGGAGTTTGTGCGGTGTTGTTAACGCAACGCGTTGATGAAAATATAAAAAAAATACAATAAAGTGAATTCAAAAGATGTGAGCATGTGGACTGGGTGAACGCAGTAGTGGAAAAGAAGAAGTAATTTAAATCGTTTAATATGTGCTTGCGAGCTTTGCACGAGTTCAAATGAAAAAACGTGAACTGTAAAGCGCATCAATGCAAAATAAAAGTGCCGCATAAAAAGCGCACTTTTGAAAACGAATTCAATTCGTGGCAGAATTTTAATGTCAATTTGGCGAATTTGCATTTGTATTGGTGCAGGCAAGTTTCGGCAAAACTAAATTGAAGCAAAGCATACTTTTTTAGCGGGCGGCGAGCAGCTGTTTGCCAAAAGCGGCGCAAAGCGACGCAATTAGGCGGAGAAAATTCGAGCATCCAAAGGGGCAGCGGGACAGCGGGCGCCCCTGTCAAATCGATCCCAAATGCTGACGATGATTGCCACGTGCTAATAGCATCATGTTCGCATGTCCACATGTCCGCATGTCAGCAATAACAGCTCGTTAGCCAAGTGCAGGCAGAAAACAAAAAGTAAGAGCGAAACGGAAAAGTGAAAGGATTAACGGCAATTTCAAGCGCTTGCCTCTCGCAAATTATGCAAACAATGCGCTGACAAGGAAGCAGCATCAGCGTTGCCAATTATTAAAAAAAGAAATATGAGCACAAAGCCAGACAACAAAGCGATCCAAGACAAAGCACAATAGCAATAGCAATAGCAATAGCAATACGCAAGCGAAACACATCCAATCTCCAAAAAAACAGAAGAAAATAGCAATAAAAACGTTACAAAGTGCACGCTAAAAAGGAAAAACAAGTAATCAGCAGCGGCAGTTAAAAAGAATAAAAAACAACTGGAAGTTTTGTGTTTGTCTAGCAACAACAACAACAGCAACAACAAAAACGTGTGCCAAAAATTTGTCATCAGGCTGGCAGCAACCGCGCGCGCGTAGAACAAAAGAAAACGTAGCAAACATTCCAAGGAACGCGACAGCATCCAAAAAACATACTAATACATAGACGAGACACACTCACACACACACGTACGCATACGCATATACGGACAGACGCACTCACGCGCACATTTCGAGGCGCATAAGCTTCGCACTTGACTTGAACATTAAACGTGTAAGGCAACCCGCAACACCCTCGCTTCCGCATCCCCCCGTACATCATGGAAATTTTCGAGGTTTACTTAATTCTGTTTTTTCTATGGGTGATGCCGAACCGGCCGCCGCAACTTATCGCGGTTTACGTTTGGAGTCTGTGAGAGCCTTTGGCACCGAACATTTTTGTCAGCTGTCAACGTCGCGCGTGTTGTTGTTGTATTTCTCCTGCGGTCGTTGGCTCGCGCCTTTGTGTGGGTGCGGCATAGTTTTTACCACTTGGCAGCAAGGTCAGCAGCAGCAGAAAGCAGCGTCGCCGCCGTCATGCAAATTGCAGAGCGCCTAAGCAATAACAAAGCTAAAACAACGCCAGCAGCAGGAGCAGCAGCAGAAGTCGGCCGCAGCAGCCGTCGCAGCATAAAAAACTGACGTCGCCGATTCGCCGTCGCCGTCGCCGCACGCAGCGAAAATGTTTGAGAAATATGTCGCCACATATGTGCGCGTGTGTGAGCAAGTGAAATTAAAATTCCCGCATGCCTAATGAATTCTCGCGCTCTCTTTCTGCGAAATGTGCCAAGCAGCAGCAGCAACAACAACAACAACAACAACAAGAACAACATCTTTGTCGTGTGTGCGTGTGTGTGTGTGTCCTGTTGTTGTATGTGTGACGCTGACTTCTAAATAATGGACGCCGCATACTAAACAATGGCGTGTTAAAACAACAACAAGCTGAAAGTGAAACGGATTTGCGAAACGAGGCAGAAGCGTCGCGCATAGGTAGAGCACAATAGCGAATCAAAACGTAACGAATAACAAAAGAAAGCAAAACGTTAACCACAAAGGATCAGTTGGCCAAGCGCAAACTGCAAAAGGAATTGGCAACGTATATAAATTGAGGTGAATGCAAGTAAGCGATTTTTCTCTCTCTGTCTATGTTTGCATTTATGTAACTGTAAATTTATGATGGCCGTTAACTGTGTGCATGTATTCGGAAATTGGGACACTTTGCTTTCAGAGTTGATTTCAGTTTAACAAAAATATTTGTTTTCGGTATGAGAAAAGGGCAATTTTCGGAATGCCAAGGATTAAATACCTGAATACATGACAAGTTCTTTTCATATGTTGCCACACAATGGTGTTGCCATAAAAAACTCAATAACTGACATGAGTAGCTGTATTATTTTGCTAGCTATTAAAGATAGTGTTCCGATCCGACCAGCACCGACATATGTACTGCCTGTCTAAGAGACAAACAATCGAAAGGACATATCAACCCGGCTGTTGATACTGCTTTATTATGAATGTGAGCTCTAAATAGTTATATTTTGAATTAAAAACTTTCTTTTTGATAGTTTTGTTCAAAAGAAGTTAACTTTCACAATTTGAGTTAATATTATTATATGATTTATTATCACAACAATGATTTCAGCTGGCAATTAAATTAACTTTCAAAACTATGCGCAATGTAATAATCTTTTAAGTTTTATGTATGTATCCTACTTAATTTCATCATTCAATGTCAGAGCACATTCACACACATCCGTCTTCAGTCAACTCGGCTCAAAAGGTGACTCTTTCCCCCCTTTTCAACACTGCCAAGTTAGTGATGAATAATAAGCTAAGCTCATTATCAGCTGAGATTAACCCAGCAATGAGATCTTTCGGTCAAATGCGATCAATGTTCTTAGTCGCTCGACTTCTAGGTTTCTCCCATATATACATATATATGTATATACTTTATAAGTTCGACGATGTCTTCTTCATGTGGAAATTTATAAAAGATATTGTCAGCAAACGTATTATAATTAATCTATCAGAATTTTGCACACAATTTAAGATTCTCTCAGATGGAAAAATATATATTTATTGCTATGCTGCATTTCAATGCATTGTAATCCAACTATCTATTTGAACTTTGAACTTAGAAGCTTACAATGTGTATGTTTTTAGTCTCAAGTATATTATTTGTGAATAAATGAACTAGTCAAAAGCCATGCAATATGCAAACATGCACACGCATACACGCATACACGCATACAAGCATTTATGCAAATTATAAACCAAATTGATTTTGCAATTGCGGCTGCCAAACACACGCGCACACACACACACACACATACACATACGCACGCACGAACGCACACACTCTCACGCACGCACAACTCTGGAAGAAGAACTACAACTTTTATAATAAGATGTACAAACAGAACAAGAGATGTACAAATAAATATATATGTGTGCACACACACACACACACACACACACACATACATGAAGATGTACTCGTATTGCAGATGAAATCACTTCACCATCACTTCCCCAATCGAGTGGCGGGGGTATGGAGGGTGTGGGGCAAAACCAATTAAAATTATTTGCCAGCCAGGCAAAGGGCAAAGGCGCTGCCGAATGGCAAATAAATAAACGTGGCTGGCAATGTTGTGAACTGAAATAAAATGAAATGTAATGAAGAAATGTGAATGGCTACGCAACAAACACACGCACACACACACCAACACCCACACACACACACACACACCAACACCCACCCTACTCATCAACTGCGCCCACTTTTGGCAGTGTCAGCCCCATCGTAAATAATGCGGGGCCTTAGAGAGGCGCCCATTTTCAAGCTTATGCTTTGACTGTGATTCTGCTCCTGCTCCTGCTCCTGATTTTGGTCCTTGGCGTCCTTTTCGTCCATTGCAGCGGCGCATAAAAATGTTAATTTATGTCGGCTGCGCCTCGCCGTTTGCATATATATATATATATATATATATATATATAAGATATATACCATATAGATTCTTATTTTTTGTTCGGGTGCTGCTCATTTTCAAAAATGTAGTACACAAAAAAAACACGAACATAATAAAAATTGCCAGCGTCACGCAGATAAAAACTCTTTTTACCCTGTACCCATGGGAGATCCATAAAAAAGGGTATAACGTAAATGTGGACATGTATGCAACACGCAGATGAAGTGTATATATTAGTGTATGTTATATGTTATATATATTATCTCCGATTCTGAGAACAAAGATTTCGAAGAGATTTTGGGTTAATGTACATATTTGAAAGCTATCTATGAGCACAATGATCGAATACAAAATTCATTGTGTATTCATTCAGTGTACAGGGTATCTTTAAGTCGGGAGCTCTTCACACTCTTCACTTGTTCTTGCATATTGTTTTTGTTGTTTGGCGCGCTGCGGCGACTTGGTACGTGACTGAGCTCCTAAATATGAGGCGAACAGCTTGCCAATTCGGCTAGATACAAGTTTCCTAAAGATATTTCCCACTGCAATTGGAATCTATAGAATTTTTGAATTGCTATTTGTGTATTTATGTATTTTTATATTTGTTTTTTTATTTTCGTTTGTTTATTTATTTTTATTTGGGCTGGTTCGCGCAATTAACAAGTTGGCACTTTAAAATGGCATTTGGGCGAAAAGGATTCGCGGGGATTCCTGGGGGAAAGATTGTGAGGCATGCGTGCGTGAACATTTAATTAAAGCAACTTATTAAGTATGCAAATTTCCGCAAATGATTAATTTGCATATTTATGAGACTAAAATGAGAGCCATAATAGCAACAACAATAAAAACAACAACAACAACAACAACAACAACAACAACAACAACAACAACAATCTCTGACGGCGGCAACTGTCAATAATAATCAGGCATGTGATAGAGCAGGGGGGCGTGTAGAGGGAGCTGAAGGGTTTTCTAGACCAAGTAAGAGAAACTGACAGCCCGCGACAGGCTATAATAACAATTTAAAATTGAAATTATGAATTTAACATATCGCCAAACGGCGCGCATGAGTTTTATGCCTTTTAACTGCAGCTTAAGAACTTAAGCATTTCCAGCGCTAATTAGGAGGCGTACAAAGTCAGGGGCGGGTTGAGTTGGTACTAACTTATGCATATCACGTAAGCGGCTTAGACAGACAGAGAGTGACAACAAAAATGTTAATTTGCAACTGGCAATGGCAAAGCTGTCGAGAAATGCCAGTTGAAAAGTTCCCCGAGTTGCCAGGAAACTTTAAGCCGTAGACAAAAGCAATTCTAGTTAATTTATGAATACAAAATAGACAGCCTGGAATTAGCTGACTTGCCCAAGGTTAACCAAATATTAGCTTACCACGCATTTTCCTCTTGTTTGCGTGGATTCCGCCAAATCGTTGGCATCCTATTAATAAATTTCTACCCACCATTGCGTACAATTTTCCTTGAAGCAAAACGAAATTATACTATAGTTGCTTTGGAAACTGGCGTTAAGTTTTTGCATCAAGCTTCATAATAGACAAATAGAAATTTATAATTTTTATAATTTTCCATTTGCAATTATTATTATTATTATTATTATTATTATTATTAAAAAAACTAAAAGCTAATAAAGCAGAAGATTAATTGTGAAGAAAAGAACCAATTGAGATATTTAAGCACAGCCTATATAATTAAATGTTTTTAAAGATATTTGAAGTGAAACTTTCAGTATTCAAGTTGTTATGTGCATAATCTGATGTGTTTTTAAGAATTCGATTGAGTTTTTAGTAGTATATGATTGGAGAGAGCAAATGCATTCCGAGTTCGTGCATAGCTTGCTTTCTCTCACACTCCTCCCCCTTGCTGTGTGTCGGTCTCCCTCCCGCTGTCGACACGGGCACTAATTAATCATATGGCAACCACGAATAGCAGGAGGAACTAACGCACTTCGCTTGCTCCAATTAAGTGCATTTCTTCGTTTTACGTACCTTGCGCCGGCCTCAGCCCGAACCAGCTGTCCTCTATGTCCGCTACGTGCTCCAATTAGCATGTTAGTGCCAGTAGCTGGTGGCAGTGGCTGATGGCTGGTGGCTAGTGGCTGGTGGCTGGTGGGGCAGTGTCCAACAGGATTTTCCATTTGCAGCCCACATTTGGGCAACGTGCTCGCATTGCGTGTCAATCAATAGCATTTTCGCTGTGCCAACAGCAACAGCTTTGACATTCTATTGATGCTGTTTCTTTTTCTTTGCTACTCATTCTTATTGCATGCCACACACACACACAAACACACACACACACACACACTTTGACAGCCTGCCACATTTTCACATTTTTGGCACTTTTCCACTAAGCTGCTTACAGAAGCAACGATGAACGCTTCAAGAGTGACAGCAAGCCCTCAACACCTAACAGCTCATGCCTGACTATGCTTACATCAATGTCATTTATATAATATTAGAGTAAATTACTCGGCGTTACCCGGCTTAAATAAATGATGTTGCAAACACTAGTATATGTAGTTGACAAAACTAGCGAATGACGAGCAAAATTTTAATTTGTTTTGTAAACATTTGTTCGTTTTTAATGTATACACAGTGAAAGCTTTTTAACGGACAGCGTTCGGCATGCCTCTCCTTTGGCCCGCCAAAATTTGTGGAAATTTTCTAGAGTAAATGTTTTCTTCGTTTTAGTGGAAGCTTTTTTAATATTTTTCTTACAACTATGTTATTAAACATACATCTTATTGAGCATGAAGTTAAACAGAAACATGCACAAATTTGACAAGGGACAATGGACATGTAGATCCAGTAAATTATTTTTTGAACTAAGATCTACTCGTTTGATTTCTTCAATAAATATTTTAAGAGGAAATCTGCCTTAGTGAGCTTTCACTGTGTGAACTTTCACTGTTGACTTGTTTGCTGTGCCGCTAATTGTAAGCGTCAAATAATGTGTGAGTGCGCAAATAAATGCGAAGACGAAGCACGGCCACGTTTTTGTCACAATTTGCCACATTGTCACGTTGCCACATTTTACTGGCTGTTGTGCCACATTTTTGCAAAGTCAACAGTTTTTAATTTGCCAAACAAACCGTATATAATTAATGAAAGTTAAGCTAAAGAGAACTGGGCCAGAGC